TGTATTAAAATGACAACAGTACTTTGCTGCTTTGAATTTTTGTAGCACGTTAGATCAGCTTTCATCACTATGAACTCATCTGTAACAAATTATAGACAGTTTAATTTCTGCAACCTGATTTGGTCAGTATTAATATCATGTTATAAAGCTCTTTGATCTATAAGTTTTGAAATAAATAAAAATTCTTTGTCCTAAATTAAATTTATATAATTCAATTTATAGATTGAATTTAGAACTTTTTAAGTCAAAGTCATTTAAGGACAAACACCAGGGCGGGTAGTGTTATAAAAGGAACTCAAAGGATTAATCCCCAAATATTTTCAAGAATGTACTGGTGATTCTGGATTAAATTACATAAATCGTAAATGTATCATGACTTTTAAATCATTTCTCTTTAAATATCATAGATTTGTAGGTTTGTGAAGAATATTATGGAGTAAAGACACTAATTCTGAGTAATAAGTCAGCCATTTCCTATGATTTAAGGATAGCAAATGAAGACATAAAAGTATTTAGACATTTTTTATTATTATTTTTCAGTTTGATCAGAGTGAGAGAGGAGAGAGAGAAAGTGAGAAAGTAAGTCACCAAGTCCAGGACTTGAACCACAGTCAGCCATGTCGGAGTCCAGTGCCTTTAACCACCACGCCACCTCTTGGCCCCAATTATTCCTGGTTTTAAAGTTAAATATCATGAGGATCACTTAGAATAGAGTCTTAATTTAATAATAAATATCATATACCGAATTCTTTTTGTGTGTATGTTTCGTATAAAATGTAGCATCTGGTGCTCCTAACAACCCTTTTAAGATTGTCACTGTTGGGAACCAGCAATTAGCATAATGGCTATGTCGCTAGACTCCCATGTAGTCGACCACAGTTTGCATCCTGGACCCAGTGACTTAAAACTCACGCCAGGCGCATGTGCATGCGTGCCCAAGATCCCAAGAGGAGAATGGAGGAGAAGGGACTGCGGCGTGACCACCCCCCTGGGGGATGATTTCTCGCTTTCTGTCTCTCTGTCTCTCTTTGTCTGTCTGGCGAGTGCATGCGCCCTAAAACCTCTCCCAGAAAAAAAAAAAAAAAAAATGATTGTCACTATTTACAGATGACAGATGATTGTCTCTTTTTACAGATAAGGAGGTTGAGAGTTAGATATTAAATTGCTAGAAAAATGTTATAATACCACAAAAATGCCAGAACTGAGATTCAAAACCCAGTTTAGTCAAGGGCAAAGAGCATGCTTGTAACCACTGTGCAATACAAATCCTAAAATTATAATCCATGAGTGTCTGTACAGGAGAGCATAAATATACCCTCATCTTTACACTTTTGCATAGGTTAAACTATAGCTTATTACTGAGGTTGAGCTTCATGTGTTTAATTCTATGAAAGAACAGAAATGAGAACATATGCATTATCTCCATTCCCTGCCACAAAACATTGGCCTTTGAAGTCACCATTTAGCTAGTTTGGATCTTAGTTGAGCATTTAGCAAAAGTTAAAATGTAATGCCAAACTTCATTGGTTGGATTTTTTATTAGATAAGGTAGAAATGAAAGCAGCAGGCAATTTAATTAGCAGTAATTTTTCTGGGCAAGTCATTACTTTGATGAACTTCAGAGCAATGTTTATGGCTCCTAATTAACCATGTTAGTCATTTGATTGAATAATCACTTTGGAAATGTTTCTACAATTTGATTAGAGTCTGACCCACTCTGATAGTCATAAATTAACTGATATCACTTTAGGATAACATGACTTTAGTTACTTTATGGGAATAAACTCCTCTTAGCCATATTTTTTCAAGCATCTCTGGACCATAAAAAAGGCACCAATTTTAAGAATAGACTGAATTTAAATAATACTAGCCAAATGTCTCAATTTTGAGAAGCTAGATGTTAATTTTATTTATTCTAAAAGGTAATAGTATTTGGAATTGGCAGGAACAAATGATATTTTCACTTATGTATTTTTTTCCTAATTGCCATTGATTGCATTTTTAAAATTTATATCTCAAGTTGGAAATATAATAGAGAATTTGGCATGAGCTGGATTATATGTCATTTATTTGTTATGTATTTCCAATCAGTATATTTTAAATATTATAGATTATTAGCACTTTTGAAAAAAATTACAAAATAAAGTACAGCAAAAAAGCAACAAAGAAGCCATTTTGGTACTAGAATGTATTGGTGAAATTGTCCATCAAACCTTATCTTTGATGTCAAATCTTTAGTTTTCTAGGGTTATACAGATTTCCTATTCTGTGAGAACACATTTATAAGGCATTCCTTCAACTTTGAACAGTGAGTTTTTCAGAAATGTTTGCATTTCTTGTCTCGCTCTTTTTCTCCCCCTCTGGGAAGGAAAGACTTCATTTAGTCACACTTACGTGTAATAGAATTTAGCCTATATGTTTTCCTCTCGCTGCCTTCAGAGCCAGCCAGCTGTTTTTACAGCCACACTCCAGGTGTGCAGCAGTCAGTAAAAGTATTTTGTGGCAGGGTGTCAACATTGGTACAGCGAAATGCTTGCCTCCAAGCAGCTGCTGAGCTGATGGCAGAGTCATTAGCACTGTCCCTTCCAGGCCCAGCTGCTTTGAGGGACCTTATGCCTGCAATAAATCAAAATAACATTAAAAATTAATTTGAAGTACCACTGGTTAAAAAGTTGAGCCAAAATGGATTGCTATTTGGTAACTCAAAAGATGGACTGCATCGCAATCTTGTTATAAATGCTTTCTGCAGGAGGTTAATGCTGCTTTTTCTAAGGTCAGAATTACATACCACATAATACTTTATGTAAAGAAGGATTGTATAATCAAATGTTTGATAGTAATTTTGACAGCATTTTCCACTTGTAAACTATTAATTCCTACACACCTTTAAATATCATTGCTATTATGGATTGCCATTAAGATATTTTTGACCAAAACTACGTAAGATAATTTTTTTTTCCTGTGGAAAACATGCCTCATATTTTGGTTGATGTTCTTAAATCAAATGGCCTTTTAAAAGAGAACATGTCAAACAAAACATGAAAATATTTATTATAGCAATAAAATCTATAGCTAAATAAGGACAGATAATGGTCTTTAGAGTCCATTTAAAGTTCTTTCTTACTTTTTCAGGACTCATGTGCTTACTACAGGTGTGTTAAGGGGGACATGATTTTAATATCACATAGCATATTTGTCATATATGTATTTTAAAAATTTAATTTTCGGGACCAGCAATTAGCGTAATGGCTATGTCACTGGACTCCCACGTAGTTGACCGCGGTTCGCGTCCCGGACCCGGTGGCTTAAAACTCACGCTGGGCGCATGTGCGTGTGTGCCCAAGATCCTGAGAGGAGAATGTAGGAGAAGGGATTGTGGCATGGCCATCTCCCCTGGGGGGTGATTTCTGCTTTCTGTCTCTCTGTCTCTCTCTGTCTGTCTGGAGAATGCACACGCCCTATAGCGAAAACCTCTCCAAAGAAAAGAAAACAAATACTAATTTTGCACACATTCTTTAAAAAAAACCTTATTAATACATCCAAATTATAGAATTGACTTGACTGCTTGTACTTATAAATCTCTATGGAACCTATACAGAGTCTTTTTTGTTGTTGTTTCCAAAATTCTGAGAGAGTAGAGGGAGATATGGAGGAGAAGAGATTACAGCATGGTCAGTCCCCATGCCTTCTCATTTTCCCTTCCTCTTCTCTCTCCCTCTCTCTTCTTCTCTCTCTCTTCTCTGGCAAGCACACATACTCTCTGGGAAAAAAAAAAAATAGGGGTAGCCTTCATCGAGAAAAAAGAAATGAAACTGAAAATACATAGGTAGGTATAAGACTTCTGAAGAGACTTTTGGAAAAGTGCAGGGTCTTCAGGCTTGTTTCATTGATCTCACCAAGAATCCAACTCTGGTTAGGTCAATGAGTCTCCTTATTTAGAATCAGAAACTTGACTATAATAGCCTCTAGAGAACGTCTGACCCAACCATTTGTTTTATGTTCATGTAAACATAAAATGGTTTTTCTGAAGTTTAATTAGTAAATGGATGAACTGAATTTTGATTTTTTTTGTCTCCTGATCCATATTTCTTTCCTTTCCTAAGTGACCAAAATACATGAGAAACAGAGCCATCAATATGACTCAAGTTTAATCATTAACCAAGGGAATGATTAAACCAAGTGACTTAATTTGGTCACATAGGCAAGGCCCTACTCTTAGGTCAATAACAATATTTGCTATGAAACTGTTAGATTTCATGTTAGATCCTCATTGAGTTTGTACATGGCCTGTGTGCTTAACAAAATAAAAAAGCCAGTCATGCTTTTATCTGGGGGGAATCATGGCAATCACTTTAAAAAGCTAAAGTAACTTAAGAGATTTAGCTATTTCTTTGTTGTTGTTTTTGTTTTTGGTATAGGGCATGTGTGCTTGCCGGAGAGAAAGACAGAGACAAAAATAAAAGTGAGACATTACCCCTACCACCACCACCACCACCACCACCACTAGGGGATGGCCATGCCATAATCCCTTCTCCTCCATTCTCCTCTCGGGATTTTGGGCATGCACAAACACACCTCTAGTGTGATTTCCAAGCTGCCTGGTCAGGAACACAAACTGTAGAGTCAGCCATGTGGGATCCAGCTGCCTTAACCTGCATGCTGCCTGCTGGCCCCTATTTTATCTTTTCTGTCTAGTGTTCATGCAGCAGACTATGAATGAGTCTTTCATTGAGTTATGCTTTGTACCTAAAACGTCATGTGATATACAAATGTATTCCATAAATATAGAAACTTAGAAACGTATGACACTATTCTGAGAACACCAGCACATCAACATGGAGCTTCTATGCCCTGCCTGAAGTGTTAACTACATGTTGACAGGTTCCCTTCATGAGGACTCCTGTCAGTTTCTGTAACTTTTCTATGTGCACCTGTCCATTGACAACACCACTGTGTTTAGCTGCAGACTCCTCTCTGACCAATGTCATTTCCTCTTTCAGAAGTGCCTAGCTGCCACTCCATTTATATGAGGCAAGAAGGCTTCCTGGCTCACCCAAGCAGAACCGAAGTTAAGTTTTCCATAACTGACAATTTCTTGTAAAATACCTTTCAAACTCATTAGACATTCCAAGGATGAGGTCACTTAATTAAATTTTATATGCTTTAGGAAACATTATTTAGGTTTCTATACCATTAGTTTAAAACTTTATGTTTTTAAAATAACAGGAAGATTTTTCTGGTCATGATATCTTGTATTTTGGTTGTCAACATGAGTCATATGCATAGAACCAGATGGACAGTGGATTTCTGTGTTCTTTTTTGCCATCAACCACATTTTTTGGACAAGAACATATGTTTTATAGATTAGCCCACCTTATCACACTGTACTGAAAGGGACCTTCGAGAAATACTTGGTTTTGCTTATATAGGTGTAAGTCATTTTGGAAGTAAACTGTAGCAGATTTAAAGCTTTTTAACCTTTAAGTGTCCTGAATTTTACATTTGTGTACAAATAATGGTTAGGAACAGAATTTCACATAAGAGGCCTAAAAAATAGTTTTTTCATTATAAATGTATTTGTGGTAACTATGGGACAAAAAACTTTTCTCTAACAAAGTTTAATGACTGAAAGTAATGAATAAAAATTGTGATGTCTGGATATAATCCCCATTTAAGTATTTCTGGAAATATGTGCATAGTCCTTAACCTAAACACTTTATGTTTTTTCAGGAAGACTGACTTAGATATATTTTTTAAATTTAGTCCTGATATTGATAACTTTATATAAATGACATTGACAAACATTTAAAGGGTAGTATGAGATGGCAAATCCAAAATATTTGCAACCAAATGTTTTATATAAATACAATGTAATTATTGTTACAGATGTTAGTAATATTTTGTACCTACAATGGAGACACCAATGCATTTGAGACATAAAATCATAACTAAACTACATGACATTTCTTTCTGGTTATTAAAAATAACAGCAATTAGATTAAGGTCCACAGTCAAGAATAGTTAGGGGAGAAAATGTGATAAACTATTGATTTATTTTGTATTATCTCTGTGGTCTCAGTTGTATTACAGCAAAAAAAAGTTAAAAAAAAATGTTCACTATGAAAGATGAAATGGTTAGTGTACATAGATATTTCTGCAAGAAAGTAACAGGGTAAAATAAATCTGTCTCAGATCACCAAGATAATGCAAGGTAAATACTAGTAATACACTTTGATTTTCCTTACACTGAATGACAAAATTCAGAAGGAACTGGAAAGCAAGATGACAAATCATTGTTTTTGTCAGTGTTGACATGGGCTCTATGATTGGGTTAATGATAATATAAACAATTAACATTTATGTGGGACAAAAGTTCATAGAAATTGCATATTATGAAAGAAATAAATATAGATTTCCAAAAACTTTTATACCAAATGAACTTGTACATAAATTCCACTTTCCATGAACTTCCTGAAGTACCCATATATATCATGTTGTGCTAAGCACGATTTTAAACTCACACATTTAAATTAATCATCACAGCAACCCTTTAAGGTTGGCTATGTTACTGCCATTACCATTTTATAGATGTGGGAACTGAGGTATTGAAGTTAAACAACGTGTACAGGGCCAATGCACTGAAAAGTAATAAAGCCCTTCTCCATCCCAATTTCTGTGTTACCCGGTACATTTTGAAATGTTTGTGAGGCTTCATTTCGATCTCGAATAAATGTATTCCATTTCCCCCACAGGCTGTATGTTTGAAAAAGGCCCCAGGCAGTTTTATGATGACACCTGTGTTGTCCCAGAGAAATTTGATGGTAGGTTTTTCACTGTGCTTCCAGTGTTGATTTTCCTAAGAGGGAGTGGAGAGATCACCCTGGCCTCTTCTGAGAACCATCAACATCCCTACTTAAAGATTCTATGCACATCGTTCATCTGCACTCGATTCTTCCTGAACTTGACCTGTTAAAAATTCTTTCTTTCCCCATTAAGAAACCTTTTTCTCGCATCCTATGAGAGAGTCCATTTTTGGAGATGCAGTCAAAGGGCACCATTCTTGCTGAGCTTTGTGGAGAGGAAGAGGGGCTTCCCATTGCCCTGCTGAGCACGCTCTGCTTGTTATTCAAGATTTATGGAAAGCTGATCCTGTAATTAACAAAGCAGAGCAGAAAGCATGCTACCGTGGACGCGCTGATGACTAATGCAGCCACTTTTCTTTTATTGTTCATGAAAAGATGCATTATGGAACACAGGAACAACATAACTGCCCATTTAGTTAGTGAGTGTTAGTCCTTCTCTCTCTCTCTTCTGGGAAGATGTACATTACTAATGTAGTATTATTTTATAATTGCTAAAAAGGGAGTTAGGAAAGCATTCCCTTTTTAATATCACTTACTGTTGTAATGGAAAGGTCCCAGATGTTAAAAAAAAAAAAAAAAAAAAAAAGGTGTCATGTTAGATTGAGTTGTCTTTTCTTGAAGAGGGTGGCAGAAGTCGGCATCCACAAGGAAGCTTGGGTAAAAGTGAACAGTTAATTGATTTAGTGGTTCTTCAGAATGGTCTCCATATTTCCTGCTTTGATTGTTTAACAGGAAATGAGCAGGGGCCCTTTGATTAGTTGATTGCACTAACTTTGGGGATCATGGCTGTGATGACTTGGGAGCACTCAGAAGTTTTTAATTGTCATTATTTCAACAGCAAAGTACATGCTCAGATTGCTTTTCAATCTCTAATTAGTTGACAACTACCCCATGTTTCTGAGATTTTTGCTATTATGCTTCTTAGAATAAAAGGCTAAGGCTTCTTCCTTCGCCTCCCTTTAAATTCCTAAATTTATTCAAGGTCACAGAGTTAAGCACCAATAGGGGTCACTTTTTTAGTTTTATTCTACAATAGATGTTAGTTTCAGGCTTTGGAGTTCAGAAATGTGAACTGTACTATTTAGCACCATAGGTAGAGCATCGCAATTCTTAAAATACAATGCTTTTTCTTGAGAGAAAACAAAGAGCCTCTACTTTTTGGAATGACTGATGTTTGGTTTTTTTGTTTGTTTGTTTGTTTTTTTTCCATTTTGGGTGAGCTTTGTATTTTAAGAAATCTAGACAATTACTAAGGCATGTAAGGAAGAAAAGTATCTCCAAACTGAGCAGAATTGTGAAATAATCGGACAAGCCACAGCCACACAAATGTTTAGGGAACTAGCCCTATTGATGATCTATTCTTTTCAACTTTAAAGTACTCTTTAATTTTATACTAAAGAAACATTTTTGGTTGGGTGAGTTTTGTATTTTAAGAAATCTAGACAATTACTAAGGCATGTAAGGAAGAAAAGTATCTCCAAACTGAGCAGAATTGTGAAATAATCGGACAAGCCACAGCCACACAAATGTTTAGGGAACTAGCCCTATTGATGATCTATTCTTTTCAACTTTAAAGTACTCTTTAATTTTATACTAAAGAAACATTTTTGGAAGTTAGTATTTGTCTCATATTTATAAGTAATGCAGAAGAAAGTAGAACAAGGAGGTTATGTTTTTATTGTACTTGACCAGAGTGATCAATCACATTTGTAGGCAGAAGCAATAGAGGGGTTATAAGATGTTACAGTGTTTACCTCTATCTGCATAATTGCTCAGCTACTCCCATGAAAAACATGTATGAGTCTCAGAAGGAAAAACTGAGATAAATAAAACTGTCACTGAAATCAATATGAAGATGCACTTCTGTATCATCGTTAAGAGCAAAACAACATCATCATTTTTAGCAGCTATGGATTGAATAATTTTATATTTTGGTTTAGGTTTTTAAAGTGTTATTTGTTCTGTGATTATTTTAAGAGGTGTATTTCTCTCTACTGACCAAAAGAAAGTTTTTGAAGGTTCATATTTTTAAATTCACACTGAGTGTGAACAGATTGGCTTAAATATATTCTGTCTGCATTGTTTCTTTAATGGAGAGGAGAGATTCACGCATTAACAATGATACACTTGTAAGGCCCTAGACATTCTATCCCCAATGTGATCAGTTCCACATATTTTTGAGACAGTTGGCTGGAGATAGAAGTAAACAATCAGTAGTCATGAAACAGTTTTTTGTTTTATTTTGTTTTGTAAATTCAAGATGGCTGACTAGACTTATACCACAATTATTGTAACACTTAACAACTTTATTAATGTAATCTATTTAACAGGTTTTAACACGCTATACAAATACCAAGTAAAAATACCACAAATAAACCTTTCTTTCTTAAAAATAGAGATTTACAGAAAACTCTGATATGCCCCTTTTTAAACTGGACTTTTAGAAAAGAATAGCTAGCTGAATTCGAGTGTCTGAAATACAATCACAAGATAAAGAAAAATGAGATGTTTTCTTGCCAGTTGAAAAAGTGGCAGCTCCCATAGAAAGGTATATGAAGGTGTAGACAAAAGTATGCCCTGAACTATCCACAAGATTTTCCTAATTTATGTAAAGTACATATTACTTAATTCAGATTTAAGATATTATTAAATTTTCATAGGAGTATTTGCATTACAGTTTTTAATAGTTTTTCATGTGCGGGTCAATAAGGCATTTACCTAATATAGTTTGCAGAATTTAATTTGTACAAATAAAATGCCCAAAGCTTAAAATTGATTATCCCCTTCACAGTGTTGCTTATAGCAGTGACTAATACCATTTATAATAAAAGCAAAGAACTCTAATTCAATAGTATGGTTTTTAAAATAATAATGGAAGAAAAGGATAGTTATCCAAAATGTTTACAAGTACATGACATCTGTGTGTCATTTGTCTTGGCACTGGATTTTTTTCTGTACCTATATATACACTTATACTGACCTGTTAATGTTACATATATTGTCATCTGCAAAACTGTAGAGATTGCTGGTTTATATTCAACCATTTAATTATGTTAAATCTCTATTTAATAGTAATATTGTATTCTATAAAAACCTATAAAGTGGTTGTGCTTTAACTACTTTAATGACTGATTTAGTGTAAACTGTATGTAAATAGCATAATGTTACTAATAGAAACTTACATTTCTGTAAATGTAGGGGACATTAAACAAGAGCCAGGAATGTATCGGGAAGGACCCACATACCAGCGACGGGGATCACTTCAACTATGGCAGTTTTTGGTAGCTCTTCTGGACGACCCTTCGAATTCTCATTTCATTGCCTGGACTGGCCGAGGCATGGAATTTAAACTCATTGAACCTGAAGAGGTTGGTTGAATAAATTTGACTAACTGATAAGTTGGGAATATTAGATATAATATAAAGAAACTGATATATTTGATTGATATGCCAATAATGTACTATTTATTTATTTATTTTTAAGAAATTTTTGCTACAGGCGCTATACAACTCGCCAGAAAGAGAGAGAGAGACAGAAAGTGAGAAATCAGTCCCAGGGGGATGGCCATGCCCAAATCCCTTCTCATCCATTCTCCTCTTGAGATTTTGGGTACACACACACACACACATACACACACACACACACACACACACACACACAGGTGCCTGGCATGAGTATCAAGCCACCAGGTCTGGGACTCAAACCACAGCTGGCCATGTGGGAGTTCAGTAGCTTAACCACTTCACTACCTGTTAGCCCCTATATTTTTATTTCAAAGCTTTAGAAAACCTTTCTGAATTAGAAAGTGTGAAAACAAAAAGCAAGTCTACATTTAAAAATCACAGATACATTGCTTACTCGTTCCAGTTGAATACCTTCCCACACAATTGATGTTCAAGGTAGTCAACCATAAACCATTGTTAGCATTAACCTGCATTCAAGAATGCTGGCTTGAGAAGTCTTTAAAGGAACATTTAAGTTAGAGAACGAGGCAGGAGAGAGCCTTTGGAGGGCGATGGGATGTCTACTGAAGTTCAACTAGTTTTAGGAATGGAGAAATTGTCCTTTTGAATAACCAGTCATTATTTGGACAGTCTGGATTTTGTCAAAAGGGTTGAACAAACATTTAGGGAACAAAGTCATATGCAAGAAAGGATGGAAAGAACAGCTGAGGGGAATAAAGGCTTGCAAGGACTACAGTGGAAAATTCTCAGACTTCAAGTGTCTCTTGTAAGACACAGGCCTTGTAGAAACATGTTTTCCTTTGATTGCTGATGACATGTGTTTTAAGTCAGCTGGACTGTGTACACTCTATTGGAAGATAGGGATAAAATTTAAAATATTGCCATAATACATAGGAAATTAGCAAAATGAGAGGACTCTTAGTGGAGATAATAGGGATACATAGAACACACTTTCAACTAACTTCAATTTTCCTCTCCACTGCATATACAAATGGAGTATTTTCATAAAGAATTTCTCAGTTCAATTTTTATACTTCCCAGTACTGGCTTTAGGTTTAAGCAACTAACTCCAATTTTCCCCTCCACTGCATATTCAATGGAGTATTTTCATAAAGAATTTCTCAGTTCAATTTTTATACTTCCCAGTACTGGCTTTAGGTTTAAGGCTTCATTATTTCTATAGAATAATAATTGATTGATGGCATTTTGAACCTCTTCGAAAAGGTGACTGTTATGAAATTTCTGTCTTAACAAAGATGTTTTCTCTGCTGTTGAAATGACTGTATATCAGCCAAGAAAGCAATGAAACATTCTCAGCCTGCATGCCTATAACTGATTTTACTAGCTATAGAATCTAAACACCTCAGTAAGGTTGAAAATTTTAGTATGGTTTACAAACTTTTGAACCCACAGTGATTAGTTTTATAATATATGGAGTGAATATCATATAGGTAATATCATGCATTTTCCATTTTGTCTTATTAAACCATGTATTCAATTACAATTAGATAATATGTCCTAATCTGATGTTCAAAAGATAAGGTTACTTGACTTATCAAGAGTTAAGAAATTATCTAACTCATATTTGGTAGAGGTTTTTGCCTTAGGGAGTTTACACTCGCTGAAGAGAGAACAAGACAGAGACAGTGAGAGGGAACGTGATAAATCACCCCTCAGGGGGGATGGCCACACTGCAGTACCTTGTACTCCATTCTCCTGGGATCTTTGGCATGCATGCACACATACCCAGTGTGTGTTTCAAGCCACAGTGTCCAGAACTGAAACAGCAATAGGCCATGTGAGAGTCCAGTGATGTAACCACTACACCATTTGCTGGCCCTTTTGAAGAATAGATTTTTAAAAATTTGAAATAAAAAGTTCTGGTTAATCCAGTGTTCATGCCTCTGGCTTACATGAGTCCCTACCAGCAGTAGAGGGTCAACTTCACAGATTTTCTTGCAGCACACTAAGCACCTATACACAGAGAACTCACAGTTGAAGAATGCCTGTCGTCTAGCATGGGTTAAATGTTTGGGTGTTTGAATTCTGTAGTTCAAAGCTTCATTTGGCTGTCAAAGAAAATTTGTTTTTCTGTAGCTATACTTAAATGATGGACATGAAGGGACCACAAAAATGTGGAGCACTAACAAATCAAAACTAGAAACACTTACCAGAGTAGTTTGAAAGCCCTTTAACGCGACGTGAATGTGTGCTCTTCACTTCATAGTCGATGTTAATAATTGCTGTAAGAGTGGGTTCATGTTAGGACCAAACACATTCAATAGGGATTTGTATCAGTTAAACAGTTATTTTTCCCCACCTGTGATTTGAATAAACTGAGTAGAAACAGATTTCTTTTTTGAAATATATTTATTAAGAGAGGGGACATTCCTGCATTATGTCAGTAAGTCTTGATCCATTTAGAAGAATAAAAAGTCTTCTGCACATGATTAAGTTATTTGATGTAGCAACTGTTGACTTTTTATGACGATGCTGTTTGAATAAGCAGAATAGAAGACTTGACCAGATGACCATTCAGTTCTATCGAATTTGGAGTTTCTGTGATTTTTAAATGCAGGGAAGAAATACAGTGACATCTGTTCCATACAACAAACTGACATTGAGACAACTTTTTTGTAATAGGCTCATAAAGTAAAAAAGGACTGGGTAATTCAGAGTCAGTAGACCATTTCCAAGGAGTAACTAACTCAATGGTCTTGTGCAACAAGCCCCGACAGCCTCCTGAGGCTTTTGTTCAAAAGAAAACATCCCGTTTCTGACTGCCGCACGATTGCTTTCATCAAGTAATGACTGTGATGTCTTGTTTAAATGTCTTCTTTGGAAAAGGTCTGTAAAATATCTTTAGCTTGTGTGGCCCGTAGTCACCTCTTCTCTCCTGTGTAGCAGCTTTTTAGGTGTCAATGTCAGCAGGACTCATGAAAGAGACCTCTGAAGATACCTTGTTGGAATTACTCGTGAGCTCCATATTTTATCTAGAATTTTAAAATGATACTGTGTGAGACTCCAGACTTGCACTGATTATCAGTGTATTCAGTAACCTTAGCAAACACATTTTCTTTTTGGTTATTTTTTATTTTATTTTTTTTATTTTTTGCCATAGGGTGTGGGCTCTTACCAGAGAGAGACAGAGACAGAAGGAAAATAAGAAATGACCCCTGAGAGGATGGCCACGCCACAATCCCCTCTTCCACTCTCCCCTCAGGATTTTGGGCACCCACACCTATGAGCCTGGTATGAGTTTTAATCTGCCAAGTCTGGGGCTTAAACTGAGGTTGGGTATGTGGGAATCCAGCACCTTAACCACCATGCCACCAGCTGGCCCCAAACGTGACCTTTTATATTTCCCACAGCACCGATCCTTCCCCTCCATTCTTGTCTCGGGATTTTCAACACACATGCACATATGACCAATGTGTTTCTTGCTTTTTTTTTTGGAGAGGTTTTTACTATAGGCCACGTGCGCTTGCCAGAAAGACAGAGAGAGACATAGAGACAGAAAGCGAGAAATCACCCCCCAGGGGGCATAGCCACACCATAATCCCTTCTCCTCCATTCTCCTCTTGGGATCTTGGGCACACACGCACATGTGCCTGGCGTGAGTTTAAGCCACCAGATCCAGGACTTGAACTGTGGTCGACTACATGGGTGTCCAGCGATGTAGCCATCATGCCAATTGCTGGTGCCACCGATATGTTTCTTAAGTCATTGAGTCCTGGACTTTGAATTGCACAGTGCGCCATGAAGGATCCAGCCACCTTAACTATCACGGCACTGGCCGACATTCAAGTATGATTTTTAAAAAATAAGTTGAATAGGGACCAGCAGTTGGCATAATGGCTATGTTGCTGGACTCCCATGTAGTTGACCACGGTTTGAGTCCCAGACCCAGTGGCTTAAACTAATGCCACGTGCATGCGCATGTATGCCCAAGATCCTGAGAGGAGAATGGAGAAAGGATTGCAGTGTGGCCCTCCCCCCGGGGGGTGATTTCTCACTTTCTGTCTTTCTCTCTCTCTCTTTCTGGCAAGTGCACACACCCTATTACAAACATATCTCAAAAAAAAAAAAGTTGAATAATAACCTGTTACACTGTCTCATTGAGTCATTTGATAATAGGGTGAATGCTGTAGTGCCATCATCTGTTTATTCTCCTCACTGATAGCCAAGTCTTCATTTGAAGGCGAGTTATAAGGAAGGCTTGGAGGTCATATGTAAAGGTTGAATAGATTTTCCTACCTGGGCTAGGAATGATTTTACCTCTTAATTTTAAACTTTTATTTTATCTGCATTTCATGGGCATATCGCTATGTCCCATTGCCCTCAACTTGATGAGAAATAGGGTACTATAACAACTCTACAGATACTTCTATTATTTAAAATGTCTACTAATACCCACAGGGCTAATAATTAACTGGCACTGTAAGAGTCAAACTGGTGTTTAAGAAGTCATTATTCTTCTTCCCAGAGACTTCTAATGTTTTCCTAAAGTTGGTTGCAAGAATTTTTATTTTCTAGGTGCAACTTGGTGAGTTTCTAGAAAAGAATCATTTATAAATGAAAAAGTAAGCAGAAATTGTTGTTTAATTTAAGGAGGTATTAATAATTTATTTTCACATCCCCCCCAGGTTTAACTGTTGTTCAGCTGCCATGTCTATTAAAGATTCACTGATGACCATTGTTAGGTTTCCCCAAACATTTTATTCCAAAAATGTTTTCACTTATCATTTCCCTCTTTCCCATTGCACCATTTTCCAGTACATTTACATTGAAATGAATGTTGTCTTTGGAAAAGTAAAATATACTTGCCACTGTGATTGTCTGCTTGGATATATAGTTTCATCCTTGTTACCTCACATCTCTCTCTTCTGATAGACGTGCACGGATACATGTGACTCAACTGTGTGTGTTTATTCAGAGAATGCAAATTAATGAGAGAGAAAATAGCGAGGGCTGGTATATTTAAAAGAAAAAAGAAAACCCTAGAGAGAGGTTATTGCTAATAAAGTGAAGAGAAACAGAATGGTCTCTTTGAAAAGCATTCTATTTTAGTATATGTGACATAGCAACAACTTGGAATTTCATGGAAATGAAGAAACACTAACCCTATTAGATAATGCTCTCTTGGGGTTGCCTAGGTTTGGATGGCAGCTGCAGCTTCTGCTCAGACTAATAGAAAGTAGAAATTAATGAGAACATGACTTTAGCTGGGGTAGCAGAAGCAGACTACAATGTTCTGTACAATGCTTTCGCTAGCCCGGGTGGTGATGAGGTACAGATATATAGATACATTGAAGGAGATCTTTTTTAAGCTCTATTAAAAACTCTGTGTCTTAGCTAGATACTTTGCTCCTCCAAGGCCACATAAAGAAAAGCTCTCAGATTTTTTTTTTTTTTAAACCAAACAACAAAGTAGACATTCTGCTTCAGAGGTTTTTGTTTGTGGACTCATATACACAGTGACCTTTTCCACTTCCTTCTTATTTTTAACATCCAATTACTGTTCTCTAAATGAATGCTTAATTCTCTAGTTTAGTATTGGCTACAATTTTATTCTGATGTTGCTTCAGGCAATAAAAATTATTTGCAGTTCAGTTTATTAATTTGTATACTGTTTCCTCTACTACACACAGTAGTACTTGTTCATTCTTTTAGAGTATTGAGTTGAGTATCTTTTTCTTTGGCTTATCATAACCCCATTAAAACACCTCACAAAGAGATCACTACACTGCTCTTAATCTATAGTTTTTGTCTGAAAAAATAAGAAAAAACAGGGCATATCAGAATGGAAAATTTGTCTCATTTTTTGTGAATTGTAGCCTATTCATTCCTGTTGTAAACACATCCCTTATTTCCATTTAAGTTTGTATCCAAAACAATAGTGACAAAGAATTCTATTGTGATGTCTCAGAATGACTACTGCACGCCTGCTTTAAAAAGCAAACCCAGGACACACGAAATTCAGATCACGATAGCTTTGCTACTTTACTTCTGCTTTGATTTAGACATATTTGGTGGGTTTGGAAATAATGAATTAACTAAATTTTTGAAATATGGTAATATGTTAATACTTGATGTCCTTGACACTACAGTATAATTCTGTTTCGGTGGCAGGTGGCCCGGCGTTGGGGCATTCAGAAAAACAGGCCAGCTATGAACTATGATAAACTTAGCCGTTCACTCCGCTATTACTATGAGAAGGGAATCATGCAAAAGGTGAGCTGCTAATATAGCATCAAAATTCATCGAAATGTTGCACATTAATCTGTATGTCATACTCTAAAAGTCACATATCATTTGTATTGCTAAAGCAGGGTTTTCACTCCTTTGAATATTTAGGTCTTGGTTTTAGCATTATAAGCTTTTCTATTTATAAATTCATAGGCATTATAGACAAATGTGTAATAATATATAAAAACTAATAGACTTTCTGGTAGTTCCTAATTTGCTTCACATGGTAAAACAAACAAACAAACAAAGACTGTTCCAATACTAATATTATGTGCGTATACCTTTAGAAGTTTTTATTCTGCGGCATTCTAAATAATGATATAATTTTGAAATGCATTTGCTTATAGGTTCCAATGAAAATAAAACATTTTAGACTTAGTTCTTAATTTTTCTAACATGTTCTGATCCTTAGAACATTTAGACATTTTTGTTCTCATTTATAAAACATTTTTTTCTCTTGTCTATTTTTTATCTAGCTTGTTTCCTTCATCTCATAGTTTAACCTCTTTAATTATTTATTAGAAATAAGCATTTGGTATTTAGATGGTAGAACAAAGTTTATCATATTTTATTTCAAATGAACTCAGTACTTAAAAATAGCTCTCTAAAAAAGAGTAGAGAGAAAGAAAGTGAATTACAATTGTAAGAAAATATGAAATGTTAGAAAAAGGTAATAAATAAGTAAATAAGTAAAATTATTTGGGTATTTGTTATATCCTTCAGTCTTACATGAGTATTAAAATCTATTTGTCTTGAATATGAACCAAGTTTATGATTTATCCATTGAGAACATTACAGTTTTATTATGCATCATTTGTTTATTTTGGAATTCATGAACTGTTACATGTTATAAGTTGTGGCATATTTTTATGGCACAGTAGTTAATGTCAAGTAAATCTAGACCAGTTGCTGCACTAAGTTTAATAGTACAGAGGGAGGTGGTATCATTGGGTTTCCTAGGACATAGGAAATCAGTGCTCTGGAATCTGCCAGTTCAGAAGTTATGATTTCTAAAGTACTTAAAAGATAAGGCTATATTACATTTTCAGTTGTTGCCATTTTCCTGATTCTCACCTTCACAATGTGTAATGATTTACTACCTGCTCCTCTTCTTTTTCTTTTCTTCTTTCTTTCCTGCTTTCCTTTCCCTATCCTTCCCTTTCTTCCTTTCTTTTAATGAGAAAGAGAAAGAGATGGGGGAGCTAACAGCTGGCATAGCCCTTACGTTGCTGGACTCCCACATGGCCAACTGCAGTTCAAATCCCAGACCTGGTAGCTTGAAACTCATGCTGGGTGCTTGTGCGTGCATGCCCAAAACCTTAGGAGAAGGGATTGCAGCCTGGCCATCCACTCTCCCACCCCCCACCCGGTGGCAGGGGGAAGGTGTGATATCTCACTTTCTCTTTCACTGTGTCTGTCTCTCTTTTCCCTCAGCTGAGCACAAGTGCCCTAAGGCAAAAACCTCTTTAACAAAAGAGAAAAGAGAAAGAGATATTTTTGATGGAGTCTCACCAAGGTGTGATCCTGCTGCCCCAGCCTCTCCATTAGCTAGGGCCACAGATGCGCATCACTCAACTGGTCCTGTTCTGGTTGAGCCGGGACCTGAACCTGGACCTCCCATGTGGCCTCAGTAACCATGCAACAGTGCACCAGCTCGTGCTGCCACAGCTGGGACCCTCCTATGGTTATTTCATATTCCTCCCTTTCTCTTCCCTGTCATAACTATTTGTAGTAAAATTCTTCCCAGTTCATCCCACTCATCATTTTCACCACCATCTTTCTAACACAAGAGCACATCAACTGTCATAGTAGGTGTTCAGCAATTTCCCTGGGCAGCCTGGCATAGTAGTAAAAGATAATACAGATTCGAATGCCAGCTTTTCCCTGGATCACCTCTGGAACAGAATCTTCTACAAAATGGTGATAATCCTAGCTCATTAAGGTTACTATTATAAATGAAACAATGTACATGAGACTTTGCATTGTACCTGGCCTAATAAATGCCTCCAGTGAATGGTAGCTCTCCACATCACAAAGTAATGGTATCTGAATACATATGTGGCTTGTGTGTCTTCACCGTTCCTTCCCTTACTGAATGGAGCAATAGCAAAGAGCTAAAAATTATTCTAAGATCCCTAATTATACCTTAACTTTTAGACACATTTGTTGACAGGGTTTCTCTAAGATGTCGTGCCCAGTCTTAAATTTTTTTAAATGTATTTGTTTTTATGATTTTTGCCATAGGGTGCATGCACTCACTGGAGACAGTGAGAGGGAAAGTGAGAAATCACCCCCCCCCCCATGAGGGATGGCCATACCACAGTCCTTTCTCCATTCTCCTCAAGGGATTTTTGGCATGCACTCACACACATACCTGACATGAGTTTCAAACTGCCGGGTTCAGACTCAAACTGTGGGTGGCTATGTGAGAGCCCAGTGCCTTACCCACTATGCCACTTTTTGGCCCCAGTCACTTAGTCTTTAAGAATTTTTCTTTGTTTAAAGCACTAAATCTAATGAATTTATTGATACTCCTCTGTTTTCCATGCTCTGTGCTAGAGACTTCCATTTCAGTCTCCCAAGAGACCTTCCAAAGATTCAATCTTCTCTCCCTGTTACAAAAAAATGGAACAGAAGGGCAATTTAAGAAACACGTTTTACGTTATAAACATTGCTAAAGTGTTGATTCCTTCAAGTTTAAGAATAGTCAGATCATTTGGATTTTCTCAAGCGGTTCCTCTCAACTTAAATTCAGGCAAAGTTATGATCCTGATCTGAGTCCAGGGCAACGATGTTCTTTGGCAGTTGTTGGCTTTTCACCCAAACATATAACACAGTTGATCAACCATGAACACACTTTTCCTCCATGTCACAAAATTAACTAGCAGTGCTTTTTTTGATACACAAGAAAATAGAGGTGTTGAGTCATTTTTTTCTGAAATTCATTCTTTCTAAAATTACCAAACTCTACACACAAAGATACTATCAAAATTAATACAAAGAATTGTATTCTTCCACCCTCTCCCCTTGGGTTTTGAGTATCAGCCTTGTCTCTTTCTCTCATTCAATTGTGTATAATGTTCTAGAGAAGCAGTCCTCTTCAGAATTTAAGTTTAGGGTATGTCATCCCCGACAAATTATGCTGCTTCTCCTTTATTTCAGGCAGTTGTCACATTCTTTTTTCTCATTTCCTCCCTGTGCATTGTGTATTTTAAATTCCTTTCATTTTTTTACACCTCTTACTTCAATTTGACACTTTACACACATCCTTAACTTCTGTCTAATGTATCTTGCCTTCATTTTTAAAAGTGATGTACTCGGGATAATGCTGTCCTCTTGATCCATCTTTCATTTAAATAAGGCTATGTGTCTTTTTTTAAGACAGGAATACACAGTGCAAAAAAAGAAAAAAGGCAGTTCACCCTGTGAGTCAGTGAATCACTGGTCTAGACTTATTAGGAATCAATGCATTTATCTTTTAAGATTCAAAAGTTTAGTTTGCTTATTATTTCAGAAACATAATATTAAGAGGGAGACACTACACCTTAAAGGTACAGATTTTACAAGTATGGATATTTACTTAGAGAAAAAATGTTGATGTGCAATACCTGTATTAAATCATCATTTTCCCCCAAAGTACAATGGAAGTGGAAGTTTACCTTATATTAAAACAAGAAAACTGTTCAACTTTTTAGCTGTATCAGGAATTAATTAATAATTACTCGAAGACAACATTTTGCATTTCCCTTGATTGAGTCATAGTTTATTCCACAAAGTAAGGAGTTTTTCTCTTGTATGTGAATATGCTATTTCTTGATTGCTTTGTTGTTGTTATCCCTACTTTCTGTGATATTAAACTACATTTTTTCCCCCTCCCTATCCTTCCCCATCTGGATTTTTCTTTTCCATGTTATCATCAGGTGGCTGGAGAGAGATATGTCTACAAATTTGTGTGTGATCCAGAAGCCCTTTTTTCCATGGCCTTTCCAGATAATCAGCGCCCGCTGCTGAAGACAGACATGGAACGTCACATCAACGAGGAGGACACAGTGCCCCTGTCTCACTTTGATGAGAGCATGGCCTACATGCCCGAAGGCGGCTGCTGCAACCCGCACCCCTACAATGAAGGCTATGTGTATTAACACACAGGACAGTCACGCGGGGCAGCATCCTCGTGCTGTTCCTCTTTCTGCAAGATACAGAGAATCACTGAGTTCTCTTCAATCTTTGTTTTATTTTTGTTGTTTGTATTTTATTTTTAAATAATAATACACAGAAAGGGGCTTTTCCTGTTGCATTAATCTATGGTCTGCCATGGACTGCGCACTTTATTTGAGGGTGGGTGGGAGTAATCTAAACATTTATTCTGTGTAACAGGAAGAAAATGGGTGAATGGGCAGAGGGATTTGGGGATTGCTTTTTACTTAGGCTTGGGATGGGGTCCTACAGGTTTTAAGTATGATGAAGCTATATCATGTCTATTTGATTTCATAACAACATAATGTTCATTTTCTCTGGGTATCTATAGTACAGTTAATTTCACACTGTGTAAATATTCACTTGGAGACTATTTGCCTTGGGCATTTCCCCCTATCATTTCTGAGTCTCTGCAGGTGTACAAAAAAAGAAAAAAAAAGAAAAAAAAAACAAACAAAAAAACTACTGTAAATGGCAGTTTAATCGTTAGAAATGACTGTTTTGCACCTCTTGTAAAAAGATATTTAGCAATTGCATTGCCATTTTTTTGTCTAGTATTGCTTTATATATGACTCACAGAGGACAACCATAAAATGGGTAATTCTCTCTGATGTTGGGTAATCACCACCACCTGTAAATGAGGGGCACGATTTTCAACTCTGGCTCCACACTGAGTCATAGGCCAGTAGCATTACATGTATCCGGTGCCACCTTGCTGTTTATATACCAATCATACTGTCTTAAATAGTTTGAAACCCATTTCAGTTCAATGATGACATGTCCTGGTCCTTTGAAATCATTTCAATGTTAAATCTGGGATCACAATGAAGCAAAAAATATCTGTCTCCTTTCACTTCCTTCAGTACATACATACATTATTTAATCAATAATAATTAACTGTACTAAATCACATATTATGCTGTTCTAGTTACAGCAGGCACTCTTTAAGAAAAGTATCCAATACACTAAATAGGTACTATAGTAATTTTTAGACACGGTACCCATTGATATGCATTTAAACCTTTTACTGCGGTGTTATGTTGATAACATATATAAATATTAGATAATGCTAATGCTTCTGCTGCTGTCTTTTCTGTAATATTCTCTTTCATGCTGAATTTACTATGACCATTTATAAGCAATGCAGTTACCTACAGATAGCATTTCAGGACAAAATAGATGACTCGAACCATTTATTGCTTAAGAAAATAGCTTATGCCATGCTATGCTATAAGCAGCTTTTATGCACATCGACAACTGAAGAGTAAGCTCCAGCTTGCTATGGGAAACTGTGGAAATTTTTGTAACTTTTGGTGAGATGGAAAATTATTTACAAATTGTCCAAGAATATGAAGAAGTTGCTGTATGACATAGTGCTGGCACTGATAGTATCCATCATCTCGTTTTGAATACTCCTGTAAATGTGATTGGATTGTTGAAAGAAGACTTAAAGATTTAAAGTTTCAAAGTTTTTTGTTTTGTTTTTGTTTTGCATTTGCGAGAAATATTGAAAGCAAGGTATGTTTTTCCATTCACCTTGAAAAATCTGTAAGTCAACGGTGTTACAGTATTTCTGATATCTTGCTCAAAGATTCAAGAAAAGAAACATGACTTTTGTTCCACCTATCAATATTCTAGAGGAACAATTTTTTTCCATAATCTATAGTAAAATGTTTTAAACAATTCTAAACACAGAGATAAAATAAATCTCTAAAATCATTTCATGATGAGCACAGAAACGATTGTTTAAAGCTGATCCCCTCCGCTATCTATTTCCACTTATTTCTCTAAACTGAGAAGTTATTGAGAACCCCAAATACCCAAATCATTGCTATTCACATTTAATTGTACAAAAAAATTCTGATCTTCCAATATGAATGTAACCTTTGATTTCAATGATTATTCTACATGTACATCATACATCATTTGGCTCTTCATGGGTTAATAAGTATGCCTTAAAAATAAGGACTTCCTTCCCCGTCACTATGCTCATGTGGCCATTTATAGTACTTAGAATTTAAAAAAAAATCCAGATTTAAAAATATTTACTGAAAGTTTTATTGGAAAGATAATTGAGCTATTTCATAAAGTGAAGGACAAATTTTAAGTGGGCCTTCTTGTTCTAAATTAATATCATATTAAGGGTTTATTTTTCTTTTCTTTTTCAGTTTTTCTTTTGTTTTCTTTTTAATATTCAGTGAGGAGAATTGGGCTATCAGTTATCTTAAGGGATCAAAGAATGCGGTGATATTAACTGTAATATTTAAGTACAAAGTGTATATTTTACTGAACTCACTGAACTCACTAAATACATAATTGGCCAATACTAAGTATATTTCCAATACAGAAGGGTTCAAACTATTTCATGATAAACTCTCTTGGGAAATGTATCTACAGATTTTTGTTTGTTTAAGTTCTATTTTTATTACACTTTCTGTTTGGTCGTGTTTTTATTTCCAAGTAGATTAATAAATTTGGCAGGTGATTTCTGCAAGATGCTTGTGATTGGAACTTCTAATTGAATTGGCTATTCAAACATAGGAATCAATTAATGATACAATGTATTCCTTTAAATTGGTAAAAAGCAATATTTTCACTACTGTTTGCTGCCTCTAGATGATGATGTGCTAATGCCCAACAGATTAACTATAACGAAGAATGTTATATCCCAAATAACTAATGAAAAATGATTTTTCTTAAGTTATGCATATAAAAATGCTTTGAAATAAAAATCCATAGTTGACAATGCAGAGCATTTTTATTAAATCTTAGAAGGATCTTGAAAGCTTAGTTTCTTGGAGATGCTGTTACTTTAGCCACTTAAGACACATCTTTGTTATATAGTTTTGAATGCCAGACATGTAAAATAAGCCTTGAGGGACTAAAATAAAAATATCTGGCCTAATTCCTTCTGGAGGCTCTAGGAGGGATACTTGCTTCTTCCACTTCTAGAGGCTACTGGCCATTCTGGGCTCCTGACTACATCACTTCAGTCTCTGCTTCCATGGTCGCATCCCCTTGTCCTCTATATAGTCAAATCTTCTTCCTGCCTCTTATAAGGGCACTGCAATTACATTTAGAGTATACCCAAACAACCCAGGATAATCTTCCCTTTTCAAGATCCTGATCACATGTGTCAAAATCTCTTTCACCAGATTGTTCACTGATGCCAGGGATTAGAACATGGATGTAGGGTAAGAAGGCTAGGGTAAAGTGGGTGGGGAGGGTGGGGTCATGACTGTTATTTGGTCTACCACACAGACGAAGACACCATGTAGCAAAAATACCAGTTTGTTTACCCATGGACAAAAAAGGTCTATTGAAGTATCTAGGATTAGAAAATTTTGAACATGCTTACTTACCTTTGAGAGAATCTCCCTTTATTTGTAGTTTTGTAAGTTTGCTCTGTTAAAGTTCACCTATTCCACTAGAACAGCTAGTATTCATATCAAACTTTAGAATAATTTCTCCCATTTTTTCCCTCTGGCAAAAAAAGGCACACACTACATAATGAGAAAGAAAAAAAAATGGTGTGATAAAAACAGAATAATAGCACAGTGAATCTGTTGTCTAAGCAAGATTATATATATATATATATTTTTTTTTTTTTTTTGGAGAGATTTTCACTGTAGGGCGCGTGTGCTCGCCAGACAGACAGAGAGAGATATAGAGACAGAAAGCGAGAAATCACCCCCAGGGGGGATGGTCACGCCGCAATCCCTTCTCCTCCATTCTCCTCTCGGGATCTTGGGCACGCACACATACGCGCCCGGCGTGAGTTTTAAGCCACCGGGTCCGGGACACGAACTGCGGTCGACTACGTGGGAGTCCAGCGACATAGCCATTATGCTAACTGCTGGTTCCCAAGATTATATATTTTTAATAAATTTATTTTGGTATTAGTATGAGTTGCTCTGCAATCTTAACATTTGCAAGTGATTATTCTTTACTTAGTAAGAAAAATTTACAGAGCATGCCTCTGTTACTCAAAAGAACAATTCTAGAAAGGAGTCTCAACTTATCTATTTGACAGGAAGAAATACATTGATGTTATAGCATTTGGCCAAATCATAAGCATTTCAGCTTGAAGGCAGGCCTTTTCAGAGTATGTAATTTAAAAAATACAGAAAAGAAGGCCATTTGAATGTTTATTACTTAGAATCTTAAAAGAAGAAAAATTAAAATTTTAAATAAGAAATGACAAGTTATTTATTTTCAATGTGGTGTGGAGCAAGGGGAAAATAGTTGGGGAAAAAACATATGAATTGGGCAAAAGTAATGGTATAAAGAAACTAAGGAAGGCAACTGTATATATTGAGTAATTGTGATACGAACTGCATAAAAACAAAGTTTCAAGGTGGTATCCTTGTTGGATATGTTACCTAGAATTTGACCCAATTTAATTAAAACTAAGGTGGACTTGAATTTTTAAGACTTGAATTTCTTTTTAATTAAACATGACACTCAGACATTAAAATACAATTGGTTTATAGAAAACTATAGTTCAGGAGGAAATTTGATTAGATGAGTGGCTGCCTTTATAGAAATACTGTTGTAGAATGTTCAATTACAAGTGTATATTTGATAGCCAAGGGTTATAAGTTCATATGTAAGATGGGAGGGTTTTTTTTGCATATAAATTCCCAATATTCTTATTTACTTCCATTATAAAATTATGAGGAAGAAGTTTTTAATTCACTTGGATATGTTAAAATTACAGTTTGAGAAAATGTGCTGTGAAATTCGTGTGAGTATGGCAAATTAAATAAGCTCACAATTTAAATCTAAAATAATGTGGAAATATTTGACTGTCATGATCACTCTGAGAAGTGGCACATCTAAAATTGATCAAAGTCACCTCAGTTTTTGACTGTCTTCTAATTATCTTAATCATTTTTAGTAATTTGTGACCAAGGCACTTGAGTAATGTATTTGCACCACTTCTATCATTAACAATTATTGTTCTTTTTCTGGATAACTTGGGTTTACCTGATAAATCTTTTTTTTTTTTTTCCGATTCTAGGTTCTAATCTTTTTAAGTATTATTTCATTCTTTTCTTAAGTAAATATGCCAGGAATATATTTGGGGAGGTTAGCTCTCTAAATTATTTGAGCTACTTCCATGTGCCACATGACATAGATCTGTGACTTATATATACAGAGAGAGAGAGGAACACCGTCCACAGGGTGTGATCATGCCATGATCCTCTTCCTCCAGTCCTCCAGTCCATTGAACTTCCTCTTCCTCCAGTCTATTAGACTTCAGGTACTCAATTTATTCCCTGCCTGTTTCAGGCCAACCAGGCCAGAAATGGAACCATGGTTGCTATTGGGTGTGTGTGGGGGGGGTGTCTGGCTGCTGTTGAGCCAGCCTATATCTAATTAAAAATTAGGTTTTTAAATTCTAAACCAAAGTATTGAAAATACTGCAGGAGAGTCTGATATCTATTAAAACTGGAAATATAAAAAAATTAAACTTTATGCTTTCTAATCATTTAATTTAATCGTAGTTTCTTTCAAAGAGTCTGGCCTTAATTTTATATTGAAGTTTAATAGTTTTATGAAAGAATAAAGATTACCTTGTGTATAGACAATATTTTTATATAGCCCCAAAATTAGTTTAGGGAAAACGTTGGTGTAGATAATTAGCTTATTGGGTAATTTGGAATCACTCAGTATTTTAAATGTATGTTAACAAATACAAATAACTTTAAAACAAGCCTCATTGAACAATGAACTGATTTTTGGCACTCATATTTCTTTAGTTTGAATTGACAGATTTGAGAAGCAAAATTAAAGCACAAATATATTGAAATTATAGATTATGATTAAACTTTAGGACAGTGATAATTTCAAATAACTTTTATAGGAAAAAGAACTACAGAACAGAAACATATGCTAGATCTAATAACACTTGTTAATTAATGTAAAATTAGGCTAACAAGAGAAACTGGGCCTCTCTCCACTACCCCCTCACCATATTTTTGGCTTAAACATTAAGAACTTCCTAAATTAAAACAGAAATTGAATATTTTTCCATGATTTTTCCAAATCTTTTATGGATTCCTTTCAAAATCTGTTCCTTGAAATATGGTATTTAATCACATATAGATTAAGGTGCCTCGTTTAGAATCACTCATTATGGATTTAACTTTTAGTTTATTGTTGTAAGGGCAGCTTCTGAAGAGATAAAAGTCTATTATTATGTTTAATTGTTTTCTCACATATGTAATACCAGTCTACATTTGTTTGTTGTTTTTCACTTGTTTGCTTCATGAAGAGCTTGTATGGCAAATGTAAACAGCAGGTATTACCAATAACCCTTAAAAATTGCCATTCGAATGATTTCACATGGTTTACCTCTGAAATTCAACATCAAGAAAATGATGAAATAGAATCCAATGAAAAAAACTTCTTCCCAGAATTTACTGTTTACTTATTTTCACAAGAATTTGTGAACATGTAGAAACCCCGAGGCAGTGTTTCTAAAACCAAAACAAAGAGAAATATGAAAATAAATATTTAGATAATTTAGATGCAAAAGGAGAAAAACATTGCACATTGATTCATTCATAGAGTAGATATTAATTCACTCAGAACAGACTCTAGATTATTCATTTCAATTTGTTTTATGTTAGAAAATTCATTTATTCAATCTCAAAATTTTTCAAATGTACATCTACAAACTGATACTAAGTACTGCTTTAAAATCAGTTGATTATGTATTTTCTGTGTCCAGATTTAGTACACCACCTCATAGGTAGACTTTATTGAAAATACAATAAGCTTACAAAAAGCCATCCCTGTCATCTAAATAATGCTAACTCAGGTGGATCCAACACACTTAGATGATTATATGATGTGGTATATCAAGTATTGCAGAATAATGTGGCTTAGACCCAATAAAAAAGGAATAAAGAAACTTAAAGTTTCTAAGAGTGAAAATTGGGATTTTTTTTTATTCAGATATGTGCATTTTCAATGAACCATGCCTGTTGCCCTACAATACGGCATTTAA